ACAGTGGGTCCTCCAGAGAGGTGGGAGGAGGATTGTAATAAAGAGGAAGGATTTGTATCATTTTTATTAAGACAAGTTATAGTTCAGTAAAAAAATGGATAAAGAACATGTTCCACCATGTGGCAGAGTAGCAGTGCCATCCTCCCAAACAGGAATACGGCAAGTTACGAGGCTGAGGGTGGGAGCAGCAGTGCTTTCTATTTCCATGCTTCTGCCCAGGCACAGTCCGTGAGATGATTCTTCTTGTCACTTCTCAGCTTCTCTCTCCTGTGAGTGCCATCAAGCAGGATAGTGACTCCTGCATCCTTCACGCATTCTGTTCCTTCTTGTCTCAGTGCCAAGAAGCTGCATCTGTGCCTCAGCGAAGGAGCTCTTGGAAACAATGGAATTTCCAGTGTGCCCCTTCTCCTGGCAAAAGCTAAGAGCATAAGAAACTTCTTGTTTTTTAGTCTCATGGTTTTGATTCCTTTTCCTCTACAGTCTGTCACGCTGTGTTGTTCCTCCTGACTTTAAAATGCCTTTGCTGTCAGCATGCCTGCACAATTCCTTTCCGTGTTTCTGGCCCTTTCTTTTTATTCCCTTTTTCTTTTTTCCAGAAGCTCATGGATTTAATAGAATGGAAGATTCTACAGTACATCAATTGGAGGATTTAATCTGAGAAGTTAGGATAGAGCTCCTGTGAAGTGGCAAAATGGCTTGTGTTGTGTTCTGTCAGTGGCACGTAGCAAGCAGTGCTGGCTGTCCACGCGGTACTTGATGCCCCGTTGAACGTGCCTCATCTTTGCCAGTTCCCCTATTCCCCCCCCATCCTGCTACCTTGCTTCCCTCCACAGAGCTGCGGCTAATTCACACCCTCCATAAGGAACAGACTGCACCTGCACGGCACCTTGCCCTGCCCTAATGCTTTTCCTTCCTCTCTTTAATCTCAGTTTGAGACCATTGCCGACACATCTGATTCATCGAGCAGTGTCACTCTCAAAAGTTACACAATGCACTTAGAGGTAGAGTCATTAGCTTGCAGAGCTGCAAGATGTGTGATGTGCTGGATGACACAAAGAGCATGCACAAAGGCATCTGACACTGCATGCTTCTCCGGGTGGGCGAAACTGGTCATGGTAACTGAAAGAAAGAAGTCTGCTAACACACCTTGCTGTGTCTTCTGCTTCTGACCGTGCATGATGTTTGAAGCATGGGGTTCTCTGTTCTCTTTTACTCCTTTTGTTCAGATGAAGTGTTTGACACCGTGCCCTCTCCTTTTGATGTATCAGTTTGCGTTTTCCTCCTAGGGTCTGGCGGATACAAAAATTCCAAGAGCTGGTGGCTCTCCCACCAACCGCAGCGCCCACATCGCATATGGGGCAAGGAGACGAAGCCAGAGCCAGCTCAATCGCACGTATTCCCAAGCCTCCCTGCACCGCAGTGTCAGCCAGCTGCTCGACCTCTATGACAAGAAGTCTTTTGCTGAAGAACCACCTTGGGATGCCATTATTCACAACCATCGTGCTACCAGTCGGGGCTTGGTAAGGAAAAAGACTCCTGTTCCTCTGGGGTGCTCTTGTGCATCAGCTACTAGTGATGGGTCTGTTCCATTGGAATCGTGAAAAGGTCTAAATATCAAAAGCTGCTGAAGATAGATACAGCCAGAAGGACATGGTCAGACATTAGATCCCCAAAATGCTTCCTGCCTGCTGCTCTCTTCTGGAGCAGCAGATGATCACACGCTGCTCTTAAATGATGTGAGGGGCCCACAGGAATCTGTATATGGTTTCCGTTGAATTAGTAACATCATGGTCTATCAGGGATATGCATCTTGAAGAATTCCTTTCTATTTGGTCAACTCATAGGGTTTTCTCTCCGTGTATTTCAGTAAATGGGTATGTGTGAGGAGGGATGCCTTGGCATCCTCCACACATCCTGTGCCAGAAGCAGGAGCTTACGTTCTAGTGACATCTTGTGCTGTGACCTTGGACTCAATTGCTGACAAGACCTGCTCTGTCACGATGCAGAGACTGTGTGAATGCTGAGACCTTTTGGCATTCATGACAGTGACTTAAGACTCTGCCTACAGGGGACTAGGAGGAGGTTGAGGGGCAGGCAGAGTATCTGTCCTTTAATACAGGAGAGAACAGGACTGGCCAGTGTCACTAACGTACCTGAACACACTGAGTTATGATTCTCAAGTCAAGGGCAGCAGCAACCTCTCCTCCTCTTTGTCAGCAAGAAAAAGGCTTTATAACCTCCACCCTCCTTGGCTTCCACCTTTCCCTGAGCAAATGTGTGGGAAAGGGGCTCATGGCCAGACACATTTTCTCCCAGAAAAAGCTGATTAAGGCTCCTAAAAGTGGGACACGTGAGGTAGTAAGAAGTTACAAGGAGTGTGCAGTGACCGAATGGATCTTGTCCAAAATACAAAGAGTGAACTGCATGGTCTGCACATAAATCCAGGCAGCTTCCTTGGCCTTTTACCTACAGTACACCAAGGAGCTAGAAGGGCTGGAATATCCAGGCATGCCACAGTGCAGGGGTGGTGCCACCATGGCTTTCAACCTGCTGTTAGACCAAGGAAGCTGATAAGGCTTAAGTAAGAACATTGTGATACTTAGCCCCTGTGAGTACAGGTTAACCTTTAGCTGCACTCTGCATCTCGTGGACTTCCTGATTCAGTGGTATCATGACAGCCTCGAGTAATTTTCTGAGCTATCACATCCTCGTGATCTAACTCCTTGGAATTAACAGCCCATCCAGGGTGTACCTCTATATGAGCTCCAAAGGAAGTTCTTCCTGATGCTAGGAGAGGAAACCCACCCTGCTTATCTTGTGCTAACAAACACCATGATTTGTTTTAGCTTGCAAACACACATGCTGCAGTGCTTTTCACTCACTTCTTCCCTTTAAGACAGTCAGTAGCTGAGGACTGTCAGCAAGTTTTGTTCACCCCTTTGTCCACCTTGCAAGTTAATATACTTGAATGGCTGAAGTGGCCCAGGACATACAGCTGCAGGAACACTGCTGGCCATCATCTCTTCATGCTATGGAAACGGTTTAATTCTCTTCTGCTTCCAACTATTTCCCTGCCTCAAAGCATTAGCACGAGTGCAGCTGGAAGAAGCTCAGACCCTCCTTTAGAAGCTTGAAGAACAAAATCTTACACCGAAATCACAGGTGATGTGGCCATTATACAAAACATCAAATGGAAACATGTTTTCTTTCTCTTTTCATCTTTCCAAGTTCCCATCACACTGCAACGAACACTATTTACCATTTATCAATCAGATACATGCAGTAATTGATTCCTTTTTTAACTTAGTGCTTAGTATGAAAAATCTAGCTGGTTTGGATTCAGGTGCCTGAATGCTTTAGGTTCTTACCTCATGCTGGGAAGAATGGCAGAACATGTTTAAAGGTAGAAACGCACTTATTTATCTGACTTTCAGAAGCATTTTTTAGGGGGCAGGAAGAAAGAAATGAAGGAATCTCCTTTAGTCTGGTACAGGTTTGGCTTACATACCTATTTTTTTTTCCCCTCCTAACAGTATGTAGATGAAGAAGATCTTGTCAATGTCATCAAAGGCTTCAGCACAGTCACCAAGGAGCACACCACATTCACCGACACCCACCTCTGAAGAACACAACCACCTTCTCTAGATGGAAAGTGGGTAAAACTTGCCAAAAGCAGCCTGCATGGCCTTTGGGGAAGGGATAGGGCTGCTGTTTCCCCACCCCATGCCCACTAGAGGAATAAAGAGAACTGTTTGTTGAGGGGGTGTGAGGGGTGGGGTAAATCGGTCTTTTTATTTCCACCATGTTTTTAAATGTATAGTAAAAACTGTGTGTTAGCACTGACACCTCAGACAGGTAAGAGAACAGTTTCAAAAGCCCTAAGTAAGTCACACAGCAGTAGAAGGCTGTAAAGGTAGAGACTCTTATCTGTGTCTCTCATCCAACCTTCACAGTTAAGGAAGGTTGTGAGGGCAGTGTGGTTGGTAAGGAAAAGCCTTTTACCATTCCAAAACCCAAAAGGGGCCTTCGTGGCAGGAGAGCCATGGCTTTTCCTGGCCTGACAAAGCTGCACCACAAAATTGTGTTCATGCACAGGTGAATAAACAGCAAATGAAGGAATTCGTCTGGAGTTGCTTGAACTTTTGTGTTCTCTCCCTCGCTTTTCCCCACCCTCTCAGCTAAAGGTTAAAAAAAGCCACTGATTGATGCTTAATTCCAAGCATGGAAAGCCTCCTAACCCATCCCCTATTCAACACTTGCTGTCACAGCCTTCCCTTGTGCTTACGTATTACTAATCTACCTGCAATAAAACTTGTTCACCACCCCCAGTAAACTAGGAGCAAACAGCAAGCAGACAGTGCAACACTGATAGGAAATAATAATACCATGTCAAGGCACTTGTAATTGAGAATTATTATACCATGACAGTAAACCTACCCCCATATTCATCTCTGTCCTTCTTCCAGTGAAAGTGGCAAGAAAGCCCTCAAGAGACTGCCAGTTCTGTGTATTTCACCAAGTGTATTTTTATGCATCCTCTCAGTCACAATCAGCAAAACCCACCATCCGATACCACACATTTTCAGAAAGTACAAGCAACACTCCTCTGGCAATTTATTTGGACTAAGAGGCAGAATATGATGCTATTTTGAATAGCTTCCTCCTTAACCTGCACAAAACACTTCAGACAGCATGATACAGAGCAAGGATCCCATTCATAAACCACGACAGCAGCAGCTCTGCAGAACAACGTGTGGCTTCATCTAAAAGGTATCTTCCACTGAGCACCCACGTGTTCCTTTAGCACCCTCCCTTCCCCCAGAACAGAAATAACCACAACATATCACATGCCTGACCACGTTTAAGCAAGAATGCACAATATTTTGGACCAAGTACCGTACTACAATTTTGGAGCATTACATAAAGCCACACACAATGATGTGGACAACTCTTCAAAGGTTTGGCAGCAGCCAGGTACTTTCTTATAACCTTACAATATTCATTCCGGGTATCAGAACAAAGTCCCATTCAAGAAACAACCCACAACACGTAACGTTATTCCTGCTACCAACCAGAGGGCACCTGCACCATATCTTTGCCACCAGACCCGTTTTCACAGGCCATAGTCTTGGCAGGACGAGTCATTCTTACGGTGGCGTGGGGAAGCAGCCGTCTTTGTAGGTGACGGAGAAGCTGTCCCAGGTAATTCAGGCCCACCTTCAGCAAGAACTGGTGCGGAGGCCAGGAGAGGCACTTTCTTCCTTCCCAGGAAACCAGCTCCTTCAAACCCCATTTTCTTTTTGCTTTCTACTTTGGCCTCGCTCTCCTCTTCTGGTCCTCTTCTTTTGAGATCCAGAGAACTCTCTGGCAGATGATGAACCTCTGTACTGCAACACCCACCTGCATCTGTCCCGCCTGTGCCTCGCGCTTCAAGTGCAGTGGTCAGGACTGCCTTCTTCTCAGCTACACTGCCCTCCCCTGTTGCCTTCCTGGCCTCTGGCTGGCTGCAATTCCCATTTGCAGCAGCTGTCTTTTCTGTTGGGCTTTTGCTGGTTAAGTTAAAAGCCTGGAAGTCCCGGTAACTGTGGAAGCTCTCCGTCCGCCTTGCTCTTGCCAACAGGGGACTTTCTCTGTATGGCCGCACAGAACCATACGTGGCTGTTTCAGGGATTGTTTCATGGTGCTGCAACTGGAGGCTTCAAAAGAGAAACAACCAAGGATGAAAAGAGCAGATGTTAGGCTGAGAATAGGAGTCAGTTCTTCTGCACACCCTGCTCCCACTCATCACAACTCCCACACACGGGCTTCCAGATCACTTGGGATTCTCATGGGATACTTCACACGTAAACTACACACACCCCCCTCGATTTTTGTTGGTTAAGACAGTGAGGACATGGATTCAGGGACTCAGCTACAGCATTCAAGTCACCAAACCCTTCTTTGCCTACCTAAATCTTTGGTGTCCATAGCCAGTGCCATCCTTGGTGACTTACCTGGAATTAGATTCCCGCAGCCGGTTTGGCTGAACGACTGAGGTGGCAGGGCTGATGTTAGGTGTGGCACAGCGAGATGTACTCAAGTCACATTGGTCAAGCAACTTGAGCAGCTCTTCCTCTGTGGGGCCGCCAACATCTGAAAGAGACAACTCTTAGTGCCCAAGTCCCTTTTCCATTATCATGTACATGTGGACAGAAAAAGAACCACACCACAGTCCGGGCACAACCCAACTTACCTTTGTCTTCACTCTTATTAACCATGTCCATCGCTGTGGTCAGGTCCCACATCTGGATGCTGCCATTTGAATGTCCAGTGAAGAGGTAGCGGCGTGGCCGGGAGCCCATTCTGCTGGATCCTTCACATTCTCGCACAGTAAATGAGGAGATAGTAGTGCAGTCAACTGCCTGGATCTCACAGATCCTACAGGAAGAGAAACCCCAAGTTAGTTATCAAAACAACTGCAGCGTCTGCCCAGTAAAGTCAGGACTGGTTTAAGTTTCTGAGAAAGCATTGAAATGGCCATCAAAAAAGGACCTTTCTTCCAGACAAAATTCCTTCCCCTGCAGGACTGGCATGCTGCCCCCACAATATACCTGCAGTCTTACTACTTGTTAATTTTTGTGAGGGAGCCCCCACTTGTTCTATGTCCTTTTTCAATCTGCAATGATTAGAAACCTAAGGCTCTCAAGACTGACAGCAACTAGTCCCTTCATATGCTAAACACTCTAGGAGACTAACCTGCAGAAACAGCACATTCAACCATATAAAAGGTATGCAAAAAAATCCAAGGATGATAAATCCGTTATCTATACAGATAACTTTTGACTTAGACAACTGCAGTATTACTTGACATGGCAGATCTCAGTTGCTTTTTTCCTCCCATTATTTTAGAAGCTTATGTGGGGAGTAAGAGGAAAAGGACTCCCAAAACTAAGCTGCTAAGCCAGATGCCACACCAGAACCTCACATATTCTGGGTAATTTGTATTGAGCTTTTTACATGAGTAATCTGCCCTCAGTTCAGATGCCAATAGTGTAAAGCCATCAACATTTTCACCCAGACTCAAAGTTATTAGGTAAGAAATACAAGAATAATAAGCAGCACAGAACTGAGAGGCACCATCTTTACCATCTCTTGCCATCTTTCTGGCCTAACAAACAGGAAGAAAAGCAACTTGGCAGCATTTTTTACTACATTGGCAGCAACATAGTAGAATATTATGAAGCCAAGGCTAAGTAAATCATATAGCTGACCTTTCTAGGTCAGTTTCTCAGTTTTAAAGGTTCTTCAAAGACAAGTGGAAAGGAAGAGAGAAACTGCTTCCCTGTCTACCTTTGCGAGCAGCAAAATGCCTGCCACCAGCAACTTCAGCATTAGTTTTGAAATGTAATGTTAGCATGGTACCATAACTGAGAGTTACATATTCTGTAGAGGCACACTCGCGTCTGCTTAGTGAGCTCAGGTTATAGTAGATCATTAAGTACAGTTCTGTTACTAACACACAAACTAGAGTACAGGCAAACTTGTCAAGCACAACAGAAGCTTGCATGCATCCCCGAAGGATGGGAGACCCCTACCACCACTTGAACAGTCCTGCTCCTTTACCACTTAAAACCCTAATCATGGAGGTACCTTTTCCCAGTTGAAGAGAGCCTTACAAACAGCTTGTTAGTGATGGGAACAACTTTTTGGATAAAAACCTGTTGATCATCACGTTCACCAAAGGGTCCTAGAGAGAAAAGAAAGATCACTTTGTTTTAACTCCCTCACTCTCTTCTCCATGCAGTCCTGAAGATCCAAACTCATAATGGTATGACCACTGCAATTTTATAACATCAGGACCAGGGAACCAAAGATGACTGACAGCAAGAACAAGTTATACAATGGTTAGAAGCCTCTCCAGATACAAATATGTTTATTCTGGTGTTTTAAAAGACACCCATTCTTGAGTTTTCTGCATGTTCCTAAAGGAAGTATTGTCAATGCAAATCCTACGTCAGGCATCTATAATAACATTAATTACTTTCTTATTTTGCAGCTCCTAGATTTCTTGCCATAGTACTGACCTCACCCTGTGTTCACTGGGCAACCATCAAAGGTTCATTTGCAAGACTCAGACCACAAAGGAATCTAGACTACCTGCGTACCCATATTTACTGACATGCATTCCTTCAGTGTCTTGCTATAGCAATATGCTGGCCTCATTGGCCTCTGCTTCACTAAACTTCAAATTCATTTCAGAATTTCTCACATGTGCACCATTTAACCCTGACTGAACAGTGAACTGGAATTTGCAGCAGACTCAAACCCTTGCTTTGCTCATCTGCTTTGATACAGTCTCTGTGTTTTCTGTCATTCTCTAAACCAAAAGTGAAATGCTACATTGGTTTGCTCAAGGAAAAGGTGTAGCATCTGTATTTGAAAGTTTTTCTTCCCTTTTTCTCACGTTCAGAGTAAGCCCTTTAAGTGTGCTCACTCTATACAGCCTAAACAATGAGTATTTCCAGGTGAATCTTACAGATTCCTGCCATGTTTTCAAGAGGAGAGCAATATACAACAGCTCACACCCATCAACTGACTTGCATGTTATAGGGTTGAAGGTCTGTTTAAACCTCCATGAGACCAGTAAACATATAGGCTCAGCGCAGTGCATTCAAGAGACATCCTACCAATGTCATTTCCAGAACAGTAACTGCCATGACTCTCTGCTTCCTCCAGGGATAAGATTTTGAATGATGCAAGAGGTGTTGAGCCTGGCTGAGTTGAGATCATGCCCCGGAACCGAGTCACAGTCCACGTCCTTACATGGTTGTTATCAGCACAAACTAGAGAGGAAAAAAATGTACAATAATATTTACAAGGGATGACAAAACTTTTGAGAGCAACTTCTCTAATGATTTCTTTGTGATAGCTTTTCAAGATTGAGCAATCAAGCAGAATTTAGGCAATGTCAGGTCACATAGCATCTCCAATTTGCTAGCGATCCAACAAATTGTTGCTGATGTCCTGTTTTCTATTAGTCTTCTCTCTTCCCTGAGAAAGAAAAACTGAGGCAGGTGGAACACAACATTAAGGTCTGAGTCAGCACCAGTAGCCTACAGCACGCTTCCATCTTCTCTGTGCAGATACTAGAACAAGAGACATCATGAGAGCAGCCTGTCAGCAGAGCCCTCATCACACAACAGTGCTCTTCTATTTCATTCATCAGTTAGTCAGTTTCTACATACAGATGTGCCATTTACTGGCATGGAAAGTTTAGCACCAAGTCACAGGGCAACAGATGACCTCTGGGCTGTTTGTTTGAGGTGTAGTTGGATACTATGGCTCCTATTCCTTTTTTGAAGATACAGGGATAGCAGCAGAAAATCAATCTTTTATCTGGGTGATAGATTCTGGGTGAAATAGATTCTTACAGAGGGGGAAGTGATTGCTTCTTCCCTGAAAGAAAGATGCTTTCCTGAGTCTAAGACAGGACAAACAGGATAGCACAAGAAACACTGGGAGACTGCTGAGAAAAGAAGAAACACAGACAGCCCTTTGAAGCCATGGGAAGGCTTTTTCCAGGCCCCAAGAGGAGATGGTGCCCATTTTGCTGCAACCCAGAAAGCTCCTGAAATGCTGTTAAAAGAAGTCAAGCCCTAAAGGACCTGCCCACAACAGTAAGTCTTGACAGGGATACATTTCTTTAAAACCCCTTTTATTCCCGCAAATGGCAGCCTTGGAATAAGACACAAACAAAAGAGTTGTTCCAGTATCTGGGCAAATAAAACCTGTGTCTTTTAACTGCTAAAGGCTCTGAAGAATGCTTACTTTAAGAAAGAGGATCCACGCCAAGCTAACCCCCTCCCTCTCCTCCCTAAATCTGCCCAACTAATTTCTACCACATGTGGGAGCAACGCAAGTTATAAAGTAATGCATAAAATTGCTTCACTGCTCAGGAGGGGAGACCCACCAGTACACATTTGTGAACAGAGAAGATTACCTGAAACAAGGTGTTTCTCTGAGAGCATGATCTTCGTAACAGGACTTCGATGAACTGTGAAGGTCTGAAAGAGCTGAGGCCCAGACCCAACTGTTTCAGGGTGCTGTACAATCACCCTCACAGCTCCAGAGCTGGTGCCATATGCAATCTCAATCCAATTGCCACTTACACCTAAAGCAAGCAAGAACACAGTTGTTCCCCTGAGGAATGAAAGCTTGTCTTACTAGGGCCAGGGAATGAGACCCTAGTAAGGCCCTGAGAACAGTATTTCCAAGCTTCCACAGTAAGGTAGATACTTATTTTAAACACTGTTTACCCATTATTATACTTATTAGTTGTTCAGTCTGGAGGAGGTTCAGGGAGACCTTCTAACAGTCTTTCAGTACCTAAAGGGGGCCTACAAGAAATACGGAGAGGGACTTTTTACAAGGGGGGGAATAGCTTTAAGCTCACAGAAGGGAGATTTAGATTAGACATTAGAAAAAAATTCTTCACTATGAGGTGCTGGCACAGGGTGCCCAGAGAAGCTGTGGCTGCCCCATCCCTGGCAGTGTTCAAGGCCAGGTTGGACACAGGGGCTTGGAGCAACCTGCTCTAGTGGAAGGTGTCCCTGCCCCTGGCAGGGGGTTGGAGCTGGATAAGCTTTAAAGGTCCCTTCCAACACAAACCAGTCTGGGATTCTACAGTTATTTTCTCATGAACAGAGAAGACATTTTGCCACTAAACAACCCCAACGTTTATTTATTGCCATACTACACTTCAACAGTGTCTTAACAACACTTTCTCTCCCATTCTTTCCTCCTTCCCGGAAGTGAAAGACAAGCTGGGTAAGTCATATGGCACTCCTCACAGTGGTCAATACATGCCACATACCATTTACTTTTCTGACTTAGTGGGAGGCAAATAGGAAAGCAAGGCAAGAGCAAGGAGGACTACAGTGAAAAATGTCACTGTGGTATCAGTGAGTGAGTATCAGTTATGTGAGTAACCACGTTCTCCCAGTTTGCTGCACTGTGCTTACAGAAGGGCCTACAGACACAAGAGCTAAGCATCATTCAGCTGCATACAGAAATGGGTTTTAGCTTTACTCGTTATAAGTTTAACCTTGCTGTTGGGTCTATCTGCCCCCCCCAGTTCACCACAAACTATTTCAGTGAATACAATTCATAAAGTGCATATCTTGTGTAAAAGGCTTAAACCCAGCACAGGTATATTATGCACAAGCATTAATATGTGATGTTCTCACATTATTTGTTAATGTATAATGCATGATGTACAAGCATACACACACATAAGTACAGGTACCTACTTACAGTTATGCCTAGTGTTCATCATTCATTTGAAGATGATTAATTGAAGAAGAATTTACTGTTTATGTCAGGGGCTTTAGCCCTGCTATGCAGCAATAGAGAATGTCCATTTAGAAAACAACCCCCCCCTCATCTATAACAGATTCTCACTGAAGAGACAGCCATAGAATACCAACTTGTTTTCGGTGTGAGGTAGACACTGAGCGCTGTTATAGCATCATTGGAGGGATCGTGGTACAATTCTGTCACCAGAAGATCATTGTCTTTCATTCGCAGTGGGAACTTCTGCATGTCTGTAAGGAAGAGACATCTGTTTATGACTCTGAATAGACAGAGTTGTTCTGATGCAACTTAGACCAACTAAAGAGTTTAAGAACCAAACTCCCCCAAATAAGCTGCTCGGTACCACCTCCTCCTTTTTATTCCTCCCTTCTCCCATTTCTTACCTATATAGTATATAGAGCCATTGTTACAGCCCAGCAGCAGGAAAGACCCAGCAGTATCATAGCTTGTGATAGGAACAACATCCTGAACCTAGTGCAAACAGAAAGGAATAAATCACACCAATCAAGAAGTTAGGTTGCTACTTTCTCAGTTTTCAGACATTTTTGATACATTTTGTTGAAGAACACCTTGCTGGTCTGAAGCTCACATGTGCAATGGCATTCTAAAATTACTGCTGGTAGACAGCAATCCTTTCCCCAGCTGGATCTTAAGTCACATTGCTCAGCAGACAAGTCAGCACAACTGCTCCACGTGAAGGCCCAAAACTTACAGCGCTGCAGCTAAACTTCACACTTTCTGTCCTATCCCTTCTTCCCTTTCTGACAACTGCTTAAGAGGTTGCTGAGCAAAGGAACTACATGTGACCTCTTGAAGCATTCCTCTGCCCCCAGTTCTTCTGTTCCCCTGTCAGCCCCTATGGAGCTCTCAGCCTCTAGCAGATATATAATGAGGGGGGAAAAATTCTTGTCCCATTTCTGTGTCCCACTTCTAATACACATCCACACCAAGTCAACTGGAAGGCAGCCCCATCATATTTTACTTACTGGTCTACAGCTTAAGGAGAGGGATTTGCCCTCCAGGATCAAAAGGAGTGCTTATTACCTCAGATGGGACGGAGATCTCAAGCAAAGAAAAAGTTTAGCTTATCCTAGGTCTGATCCCCTATCTCAAGCAATTCTTTGTTTTTTGCTTCAACCCTGAAGAAGAAAAAGCCAAAAGCCATTTCATCCAGAGCACTGAAACATGGTCAATGTCATAGCATTGTTCTGTACTTTGTATGTTTCAGTCAGTTCACTTAATGGACACTGACTACTCAAGTTCCTGTTTCTCATTTCTCTCCGACCAGCAGCATCTTTCCAATTACTTTGGAGACTTACAAAATCATTTGCAAAATAACTAAAATGAATCTGCAGGATAAAAGCAAAACAAACCAACCAAAGGAGCTTCCCCACATCCCAAAGAGCTAACACACTAAAGCAGTGCCCATTCCTAACTGAAGGGTAGTCTGTAAAACCCTTAAAACATATTCTAAGCCTATCACTCATCCTTACAGAGAAGGTTTCAACATGAATATAGCTTCGACATATTTTCTGGGAGATGGGAAAGAAGAGGCACTTCCCCTCCTTTGTTTAAAGAACTTCACCTCTCTCACTTATGTTCACCCATAATTCAGCACAGATCTAATGCTAAAAATAAACTGTTATTGGAAAGCACTTGGATTTTCCCCATGTAACTGATAATTGAATGATCTGGAGAAGGATCCCTTGCAATTACTGAAAAGAATAGCTATTCTTGATCTCAGTGCTTTCAAATAGTACTTTTTCAGATACAGCTGTTTAAATACCCTCCCCACAGTCAAGTTCATACTACACCATTAAATAAGGCATCTAACAATCTGGGCTGCAGAACCTGGTTTCAAAAGGGTTTGTTTTTAACCCAGACTACTTTAAAGAGCAGAAAGGCAAGAAACTAGAGTCTCAACATGCAAGAGTATGGGTCAAAGTGCAGTCTGTTCTCTGGTTCTGTGGATCAAAGGTATATACAGAAGCTCTCCCAGCTGCTGAAAGTTTACAACACTAACAGAGGCAAAGGCAACCCTTCAAAAGACAGACAACTTTAGTCATCACCTTGCAGAAGAGACAAGAACTGCAAGGAGAGTTCTGAGCAAGAGGATCCCTGATATTGCCAACTGCAGAGATTGACTGACTGGGTCAGAGAGATCATACAAAACAAGGAGAGATCTGCTGCAGCAGAGATAGGGACACACCAGAGGCAATTCAAGAGATGCACTTACCAAGAAGTGAACTTTCACCAGGAAACAGAGCAACTCTAAACAACAGTCACTGGTAAAACACGTCCAGTGAGGCACTGGTTTATTCTGTTCCTCAAAACCTCTCTCAGTGCAGCCAGTATGATTACATCATAAGCCGAGAGCTATGGGCAACTCATGGAAAGCAGTTACACAAATACCATGTATTCTCATGAGGAATTTGAAAATCAGAGGTGCAACCCTGCCACCTAAGTCTTTATGGAGTTCTTCAAGAAGAATGTGTTCTGGAGGGAGATGATCTACACAAAGATGTAAGTTTTTTTCTCCTTACTACCAAAAGAGCCTGAGGTATAGAAAGCACCTTCGAATTGGTAGGATTTGGGCATGTTTTGTTTAGTTTGGGTATCAGAAAGCAAATAAACTTCGACGTAAGACATCCTGGCATATAAGCCCCTCAGAGATTTTTCTGTTCTTCAATAGGAAATGCTTTCACCAAGGAAACAGTCAAACTGAGGAACTACTAATGTAATCAGAATGATTTCTGTGGCTCCCCCTGGAAACAGAGATGATGAATGGGACCTCATTTTTTATTCTTTATTACTTGCTCCTTTAGAAAATGTTGTCAAACACCAGCTTGTCACATAACATTAAGTTGTCTCTTAACAGAAGATATTGCAAGGCATCAATAGAGCTTTTCAAGACCATACTAGCATATTTGCTGCAGAAGCAGTGCTATCTCGTACTTCTTATCTGTGTTATTTGCTAGCAGTAGTGTCACTTAAGGGTTGAATGGGAACTTAGTCAGCAAACAGTGCAGCAGCCTCAGGTCAGTTCTGCCTCATGAGATTTGCAAGGCAATTTGGGGATTTTACTGCATCCAGGTTTTGTGCCACAAAGACATACATCCAGCTGTGTTACAAGCCTTGTTACTCACATGAACGCTCAACTGTTTTCTCAGACTCAGACTCCAAGGATCTATTTAACATGCATTCTAACAACATGTTAATAATAATTATTATATATTAAT